GCACCAATCCAATACCATGTAATTTATTACCCTGCTACTCTGATATATTTATATTTATGATATATTAACCTCTTTATTGACACACATGTATCAGACTTGTACTTGGTATTGGCTGATATACCAAGTTTAGGTATTGGAATCTGAATGAGGAAGAAACTCTAATCTCTAATCTCTTTAAAACATTCATAACTTGTAAATAACAGAAAACACAGTAACATGCATTTAGAACAAGATCAAGGTTTTTCCTTGAATGGTGTATTCACTCTCTGCTGCTGTAAGACCTGCAGAGCTGGAACCAATTTCCTGCTTCTGAAATATTTTATTCACCTTCATAGACTGAAATTCACTCTGAGGTGGGAACACACACACATCTTGTATGCATGATGACACAAATACTGTAGGTACATGTATGATCACAACATACATGCACACACACATACACACCCACACACACATAGAGTTTTAGGAGCAATGTTTTCTCACACATCATTCACCCCTTTAATCCACAGAGCTGGATGGAGAACAAGCAGGACAGGGATAAACACCAGCCCCTGCCAACACGCTCGTCCCCCCCAGTCACACAGTAAAGCACTCAACACGCACACACATACTTACATACACATGCAGCACAAACACAGACACGTAAAGCATGTCGCTGCACCCACATATAATAATAAGCCCCTCAACCCCCCTTTTTCCCAAACGCTGTTAATCCCATAAGAGCCGCCCCAAGCACTTCCCACCAAACTGATGATTCTTCAGAAGCAACAATCTCCCGTTCCGTTTCCTCCCTCCTCTCCTCCTCCCTTTCCCTCCTCTCCTCCTCCTTCTCCCCTCGCCCCTTTTTACAACTGTAACAATGAACAGGAAGAATCATGTCGGATTCAAAATACATCTTAAAACCCCTGCAGCCTTTTTCCCGATCACGTCTCCCTCTCCTTTCCCTCAGATGCAGGGAAATAAACTACAAATTCTGGTTCAGTGCCATCAATAGCTGATGTTTTACTCGCAGGCTGTAATGCTACAGCTGTGTTGTTTGACTCCATGGGTCTAGTCCTGCACCATCAAGGTAACACAGATGCAGGGAAGGTCAGGTAGGTGATAATTGTTTGGATTTGACTGCTTTCATAGAAACATACCCTGTTTTTTCAAAAGGACCAGATTCTTTACATCCCCCATGATTTTATGCCACAGAGGACTCTCATCACTGCAGTAAATGAGGTCTTCTTTTTACTTTGACAGAAAACATAATAGAAAATGAAGAAAAAAGGCAAAAATGAGCTTCTGATTATGCACCAGAGTCCCTTTAATTAAGTTCCAATTTAAGAAAAAACAAAGTACTTAAACCACAAAGGGTATTTGTAAAATCAGATTCTAACATTTTTTGATATTGTTAAGTATTAAAAACCAGGCAATTGTCTGTTGTTTAGTAATCAAAACAAACACTGATAAATTCCCAGACTTTTTGTTTTTGTATAAAAACATAATGAGATATGTGATATATTTTGAAGGCCTGAATTCCCCAAAATAGAGTTCTTTGACATAAAGTTATATTATGAATGCAACTAATGAGTATTTTCATTATTGACTCATTTGCCAATTATTTCCCACATGTTTTGATCTATAAAATGTCAAAACATAGTCGAAAATGTCTCTAATAACTTTTAAGATTACATTTTCAAATTGCCCAAAGATATTAGGTTTACACACAAGAAATAGAAGAACAGCAAATCCTCACGATTGAGACACTGTGATTTTTCACGCTGATTTTTTATAACCGATTTCACTGTAAGGCTGCTCAATTAATCGAAGAACATTAGCTCAATGTGCAGCAAATTCAGCATGAGGCTAACGGAGTAACAACCTAAAAATAAAAATAAAAGACACTATTCTAAAAGTCACACTTACTTTCCCTTTATTTATGATTACCAAAGCGGCAGTCAGAAGGTGGAAGGAGACAGGGAGGATGCCGAACAGAATGCGTCAGCGTGACGCAGGGAGTCAACTTTGAGTGGTTGCGGGTTAAACGTTAGAACTCCGGCCCGCACATGAGGTCTGCAGGTCTGCATCAGGCTTCGTCCAACGTTTGCACAACAGAAAATGAAAAAAAAGAAAAATCGTTTTCCCCCCGATTTTATTAGTTTTTGAGATCTTGCCCCCCAAAATCTAATCATTGCATCAAA